CTTGTGGCTTCCCAGAATGCTTGATGTCCCTGGGGAGAGGGAGTAGGGAAACTTCTCTAAGAAGGAAAGGGATCCCCACTGGGCCCTCCATCCCAGATTTACTTGCATCTGTTCTTATTAAAGTGCCATTTTCTAAATATCATATGTGTACATTGTTCCTCTCTTCCAGTTTTGGAATGCAAAGGTGTGCCATGGTTCTGCCAGGTCACCAGGTTCTGCCATGTTTGAAGTTGCTGTGGAACTTAGAGGCCATGGCTGCCCAGAATTTTTGCTGTGGCTTCTAGGCCCTCCATGAACATGCCTGATCACCCTATCCAGCCTTACCACGCACTACCCCCACTTCAAACTGCTGCCAACCTACTGAAACTCTTCACTTCCTCAACCTTGCTTGCCAAGATCTCGCATGCCCCTGGGAGGAGAACTTCCTTTTCACCCTATTGCCTGGTTCAAACCACTTTTCCACAGACGTGAGTTTTTCCAGGAAATCTTACCTCACCCTCTGAAAAGCTGGGTCAGGCATCCCTCACCTCCCCTTGTCTCCTCTCTAGTTGCGAGCCCTGGAGAGCAGGTAGGACATCTTGTGTGAAATACAGAGGTGCTGGCCTCCAGCCTGCAGAGGTGGCTCACATAAAATGATTCTCTGCAAATGTTAATTAAACACACACAAGCATGTGTGATGTCCCTAAGTGACTGAGGGACCCTTTGGGACAACCCACAAAATGGAACCTTCCTCTTGTCTCAACATCTATGAGGTAGTATCAAGCTCTGCTATTCCTGGTACCATGGTCCTTTGCCAATTAGCCTACACAGTGTGCCCAAGGACAGAAAAAAGTCTTGATTTTCGGATTTCAAAATCAATGTAGCTAATTAAAAAATAACTCATTGAACTGAAAACAAGTTCAGAAACAATTAAGATAATTAAAATATCAGCACCTTAATTGAGACCAAGCAGTGAGTGAGCTCAAAAAAATAAAATTAATTAAAAAAAAGAAACTTAGATGGAACTGGTAATTAACTGGCTTTTGAATTCAATACTCTGCAGCTCAACAAATCTCTTTAAATTAATTCATTTTTGGGCCTTTTTCTTTGAGAAAAGTTTTTGTAAAATTTATTTGAGAAAGATAATTGGACATGTGTCCCATACCATTTGACCCTTGATTGGCTTTTGCAAGAAGACAGGCAGGAAAGATGGAATTAACCTTCAATGCATGCCTGCTCTGTGCTAGGCACATTGTCGAGTTTAGGTCCACATGAGTCTTGGAGGTATGGTGATGCAAGTGGTACAGGGGACCCAGGGCTTTGTCATCTTCTAGAGAGTACTGCATGCTGTTACCAAGCATGTGCAGCGGGAGATTAAAACTTGCAGCATAATCTCCAGGAAATCATCAGCACCATGACAGGGAGGCTTTGAGCCTGGCTCTGGGCTCTCACTGACACTCACCTCTGCAGTTTCCTCCATCTTATGAAAAGGCTTCTTAAATGCCACTTACTATTCAAATCTCTTATCATTCCCTTTAGAAAGAGGAGCCACACATCCCTGTCCAGGACCAGTGGTTGTGGGAGCCTTTCAGGAGTGTCACTGCTGCATTGAAATGGAAATGACGCCCTCCGCATACCCTTTCAATCCCCATATTGCTGTTTTTCAAAAACAAAATGCATCCTGGTGATTAAACAAATGCTGACAGCTTGATTTGTTACTGTTTTGTTGTTCTGTGAAGTTCATTTACTCTAAATAATTCACATACATGTTTCAAGTATTCAGACCCTAGTAATTAATTTCTAGCAGACTTGATTTCTGTATGCAAATTGTTAAGTATGTGTGTGGAGTTAAATGATAATTTCATTATTATTACTTTTTGTTGGAATTTTTGTTATTATTTTTTGTTTGTTAAGAAATGTCAGCTTCTAGGATCCCAAGGGTTATCTATATTAGTTAGACTAATGGCAGGATGACAAGATTGCAGAAGAGTTGACCAGACCACAGGTCAGGTGACTCATTTGGGGGATTGCTGCATCCAGAGAGGGCAGTTGTTTGGAGATGTCCATCCTACCCTCTGGGGAATGGGACTGGTGACCCAGTCCTGGGGGACATACAGGCCGGGTATTGCTATCACAGCTTCAGTAGCACCGGATGCCCTGGCAGCTCCCTCTTACTTTTGGCCATTAAATCTCAGTTGCCTTTCAGGATTCTCAAGAATATGGTGCCATCTGAGCTTCAAACCTGGGTAAGGTCGGACCCTTGCCCAACAAAGATCCTAGTTGTTTCCCATGCTGGAGTCACGTAGTGAGGAGTTCAGGTTCACAGACCTGGTTTTCAAATACCCTCTGCACCTCTCATCAGCAGCTTTTTTCTCAGACCTGTGTTTATAAAATGGGGATGTTAGCAGCAGCCACCTCCTTGGATGCTTGCAAGGATTAAGCAAGGTAATCCAATTAGAGGGCTGGGTTCACTGGTTGCATGTCAGAAGCAACTCAGTGGTGCTAACTATTGTTCTTGTGATTATGAAGGCTTATTATTCAGTCTGGGAACAAAATACAAACCTGAAGAACCTAACCCATAAGAGGTGCTTAACACGTACCAGGTCTGTTGTAAGCACTTGCAGATATTAACTCATTTGATACTTAAGACAACCAACCAGCAATAATAGATGTTATTATTCCTCTCTTACAGAAGAGGAAATTGAGGTATAGAAAGGTTAGTAAATTGCATAGCCAGGGCCCCATCCCAGAAGGCCTACTCTGGAGTCTGTTCTCTTTCCTTTTATTTCTGCTCAGCTGATTGACTTTCTTTGTGACTGTACCATCCAATCAGAGCTGGCAGTGTGAACATTGCATGTTTGAGAAGTTGACTGTAGAAGCAAAAATAGTTCAGATTCTGCCTCAAAGCTTGTCATGTCCTACTGCAGATTTCAACGCCCATTCTTCTAGGCCATCCTACTATCCTCCATTTCTGAGAACTACTTAGTGCAGATTCCAAAGTCTCTGCAGCTCTTGGCACCTACTGGGGAAATAGCCTACCCTGGTAACTATGGCGGGACTGCCAGTCATTGGTCCCCAAGTTTCCTGAAATCTATAGTGGTGGATGGAAGTGTGAGAATGGGCATGGCCATTGTTGGTGGTCATCTGGTAATCCTTTTAATTGTTGACTCAGTTTTGGAAAAGTCTTGGAAGGTAAGCCCATGTTGACTTGGCTGCAGCCCTGGAGGTGGGGGTGGGGAATTATGCATAAGGAAAAGTCACTGGCAGAAACTATACCATCATCCTGGCTTCTCAAGCAGACATCTCTAGAAACTAAGGAAGTTCTATTTGGGGCCAGGAAGCTCTTGCTTCAAATTTCTAGAAGGCCCAGCCTTGGAGGAATCTGAGGGTAGATACAAACCTCTCTCCAATTTGTCTCCGAGGCAGCCCTCAGTTTAAGAGCAAGGAATGAGCATATGGGCCTTGGCACGTGAATCAGCTTCTCTCTTATTTGAGCCTCTGTGTTAAACTCCGGGTATCAGAGAACATCTTTTGGGGATTAGGCTTTTTCAGATGGCTTCTCTTGGACCAGGACCTGGATCTTGTTGCTGTCCTGACTAACCTAAGAATGTATCCTGGTCCCATTTACAGTTGCTTGGGGAGGGAGCTGCCTTGAGCTGTTCACACAGCAGAAATGCTGGTTTGCTCTGTGTTCAGGATTTTTGAGGAGTTCTTGGCAACCCTCTGAAGGAATAGTGCTCAGAGCCTGGACCTGGGCGTAAGGAGGGAAACTGCTCTTCTCTCTGTGACAGCTGAACGAACTGGTGGAGCGGATGATGGCATTTGTCATGTAGTTTTGCTATCCCTGCTTGCAATGCCATTTCATTTAACCAAATGTCTGCATGGGGAGGAAACTGAGAAACCTCACATCCCTGGCTGTAGAGAGCAGTTATGAAAGATTTACCTCCTAATAGACATTAGGCTCCAGATCTGGGATATGGCACAATTGCTTTTGTTTTGCAGGAAGTTCCCCTGGGCCTCTTCTGGGTCCATGATGAGCATGTGCACCTCAGCATGCTAAGTGCTGATTAGCCAGGAGCCTGCTGCTCAAGCTTATTCCAGAATATGTTGCTGTATATGAACCTCTGTCTTTGGGGACGCTTTCTTGAGTTACTTCTTTGAGTCAACTCCCTTTCCCTCATTACCCACCCACAGACCACACTTAACAGTCATTGAATTTCTCATGATTGCCCACACAGGCCTTCCTGCATTTTGCTTGTGCTTGTCTCCCTGCCTGGTTTGCCTGTTCTATCCTTGCTTTTCAAAATCCTACCCATCCTTCAAGATCCAATTCACATATTAATGCTTCACTAATCTTTGCCCTAGAAATTGATCTCTATTTTTCCCTCAAGCTCTGTTATCATTTTATATGCCCATCATGGCCCTTATCTAATTCTGCTTTGCACAATAAATATTTATGTGTAAGTTTTTTCCCCCCCTCTCCCTGTTACATTGTAACTTTGTGTGGCACAAAACTGTCTTACACATCTGGAAGTTCTCTACAAACTTAAAATAGGTTATTAATGCCCATGGCCTGTATTTATTGAACTGAAGCAAAAACCTATGTCCTTAAGGGCTTTTTAGGTGATAGGAAATAAGTAAAATTAAGCATGAATGAAATCATAAAAACCAACACCAGATAAATAACCAAACGGGGAAGATTTGGTAGCTCTTGTTCCTCCGATCATGTAAGATTCTAAAGGATTTTTTTACAGTAATTCCTACTTGAAATGAAGATGCTAAAACTCCCAAAGCACCAAGGAATCACTATCCTGATGTTCAAGAAGAGCATGCGTGATAGACACAGAATTCCCTCTGGCTTGGGTTTTCATTTCAATCCCCACCAGTCTCAGAAAACAGCATAGAGTTTTCTCTGTGCAAACACACAATTGGTTTGTTTCCCATTTGTTTATTTGAATAGCAGTGGAAATTAAATTTCCTTGGAGGTCCTCATGCTCCTCTTCTTTTTCCTTTCATGTCAGCCCTGGACCCATCCAAGGACCCCTGCCTGAAGGTGAAATGCAGCCCTCACAAAGTGTGTGTGACCCAGGACTACCAGACAGCCCTGTGTGTCAGCCGCAAGCACCTGCTGCCCAGGTAAGACAGGAAGCAAGGTGGGTGGAGGGTGGGAGGCGCTCTGCAGTTGGTGGATCTAAGGGTACCTGGACTTGACTGGGGAACATAGGAGAAGGGAGAGAGCATAGTGTTTGTGCTGCCATTTTGTAGGATATTTGGTGCCTATATTCTTGCTTAATGGTATGAATCTCAGTTTTCAAACACAAATTTGCAAAGAACATTCATCTTAATTCCTTTAAATCTACTTAATTTTTACTCTGCGTTCTCATCTGAGCAGATGAACAGAAATCCCTTCTTGGTCATCATTTGGGAACTTCCTTTTCCATGAGTGACCTTAAGATCCAGTAAGGTTATTGCTAATAAATCAGAGGTTGGACCTTTTGTCCCCTGGTTGTATCTGATTATGCTAATCCTTTGAGTCCTTGAGGCCAGAGGGTCTCTGTTGCCATAACCCTCCTGCCTTCTCAAAGCTCACACTACCATTCCTTCCTAGATTATGTCTTGCTATTTCCTGGGGTATAGCAGGCCTATCCCTATTTACCAAGCCCAGGGGGAGTTCTCCCCCATTTTCTCTTCTTCCTTATAGCCCTTATTCTCAATGCCACCCCACCCAGCACTAGCCACCCAGAAGGCTTAGACTTAACAATGATGGAAACAGACTTGAATTCAGGCTGCTTGTATTTTCAGTCCCATAAGAACATTCAAAACAAGAAATCAGACACACTAATGTGTGTGTGCACGCGTGTGCGCGCACACACACACACACACACACAGAGGCTTTCTTTAAGAAAGGGGCTGAGTGGAGGTGAGAGGAAGGTGATTTCAGTGCCTTTTCTACACTCTTCCTTGAACTGCCTGTGCAAGTGAGAAATGCACCAACACCATGTTGGAGTTACACCCAGTTTTGTCTTGAGCAGCTTACTCTGCCACTCACCTGGACTGCACCATAACTTAGGAGAATATAGCAGTCTTTCTTAACTTCATTCCCACTGAAATTGACCTCCCTAGAACTTTCACTTTATTAGCTCTGGTTTAACCACCTGAGATCCTGAAGGATGGGTACTCTTCCCTCTCTTAATCCTTAAAGTCTAACCAGTGCAGGCTCCTTTAGGCTGTTCTTGTTAAAATACATTTTAATTGCCCTTCCTCCCCTAAGTGATTTTCTCTAAACATGCCTGTGGAGGTGCTACCCCTGAGATCATGATCTAGCAGAAAGACAGTACTCCTATCATGGGGTGACTCTGTATCTCTGGCTTCTCTAAGCATGGCCCCTGCAGCCATATACCTGACCTTTATCTCCCATATCTCCTTCAGAATCCTCAACAAGACTTTCAAGGTTGTTTTAAGCATAATCAGACAAAAATGCAAGGTATTATAATGAGCTTTTCTTGTCCTCCTAACTGGAAAGTTCTTCCTATAATAAAGACCCATCCTGTCCCTGGAATGTGTAGCACATTCCAGGTGTTGTGCTCAGCATCCTTGTCCTTGAATTCTTTTTAAAATTTTTAAATTTGGTATTGTTTTTTTTATCTCCACTCTACAAAAGAGAGAACTGAGGCAGAGTGAAGCATTCGTGATTTGCTTGTATATCTAACAAGTGGCAACCATTATTCAAATCCAGGATTATCTATCTAGCTCTAAAGCTTACATTTTTCACTACTACAATATGTTAGCCTCTTCATTCTACCTTCCCTTGTCTGTGGTTTATTTGCTGTTATTCAGCAAAAAGCTGTGGAATACCTACTGTGTGCCAGGCTTTTGTCAGGCCCCAGGGCTCCAGGAGGTCCTGTTCATATACTCAAGGAAAATCAAGGTCACTGGGGACTTTGATGTAAAAATGTATTTTGGTTGATATTTGAAGTTCTTTTTAAGGTTATGTACTCTAAGAAAACATGCCTCAATCTCCTGCTGCATGTGATTTCTGCCTTCCCTGATGGAGAGAAATGTGATTTCCTTTGTTGAAAATTCCCAATTACTCTCTGGGATAGTGTCTAGGTTGTTCAGTTATCTGGTTGTGTGTGTGTGTATGTGTGTGTGTGTGTGTGTGTGTGTGTGTGTGTGAGAGAGAGAGAGAGAGAGAGAGAGAGAGAATGAATCCCTTGCTTGTTTCTTCCTAGATTTCAAAATTCAGACTTTTTTAGAAATACCAGAGTAGAGGTTTGTGGTTTTAAATTCAAATCTGTTTGAGACCAAGGCAGCAACCTTGCTTGTATTCAGACATATCCAGGTAAATGATATTTTCCTGGGCAAGTCATGTTTCTGAGCATCACATTTTTGCCTATGTGAAAAGTTTAATCTTCATCTCCCATATCTCCTGGTGACCACAAAATTATAGTGGCTTAGACCATGGATTTGGGAATAAGACCAATCTGGGTTCAAGTCTCATCTTGGCTACTATTTGACTATGTGACCTTGGCAAGTTACTTTACTTCTGAATTTGTGTTTCTTCACCTGTTAAATTGGTTTGATAGTTGCATTTACATAGGGGATAACATACACAGTGTAATGTCAAAAAAATTTTAGATATTCTTCCACTTACTAAACCAATGACTATAATAGTTATTGTTATTGTAAGATTCATTTTGGAACTTAAGCTAGAAATCCCCAAATCTGCATACTCCTAAGAAAAAATAGCTCCCTACAGGTGCCTTTCCCCTCTAAGGCTCACGGTGCTCTCTTTACTGTTCTTGCAAGGGTAAGCCTTTGAGAGTTAGTGTGATGATTATAGTGCACTTCTGTTGTCCCCTTGATGATTCACACAGGTAAGGACCAAAAAAAATGGCTGCATTTCTGATGCTAGGACCTATACATTTACTGGAAAAATAGTTCAAAGAGGCAGCTTTGACTGAGGGGACATGCCTACTTCCCTTGTTGGGACTGGGAGGTGGAGTGGCTCCTGCAGTGCTGTTCGCTGTGGTTATGGGTCCAGCCTTGTCCTTGACCTCTCAGAGGCTGAATTACTCAACCCACATGATCAGCCGATTGCATACATCTTCTGAGGGTCTTGGACATCTTCCCAGACGAAACATCTGTCCTTCCACATTATACTTCAGGGGTCCCCTCTGATCAGGGAAACCATGTTGACAACTCTATTTATTCATCAATCAGGAAAGTAATCTTTCTTTCTTCAAAACATCTGTGGACAATTGTGCCAGCCAAGCTGGCCTCTACAGCAGCACAGTGGGTGAATCCCGCCCTCCAGACAGTCAGGAGTATGCACATGTGGAGAGGCTGCTGAGCCAGCCTTAGGCTGAGTATGAGACTCCAGTTTTAGGTTGCCTTTGCAAGTAGAAGACAGAAGGACAGTGAATGAATCATTGACAGAATTTCATTAGCTTTTTGGGTTTTTTTTTTTTTTTGGTTGGTGCAGACTGAGTGATTGGAGAAGCCCTTGGGTGCACACATCTGTGACCACAGCATTTCAGGGCCAACCAAGCAATTTTGTCGGGGATTGTGGAGCGGGTAGAGGGGTGTGTGATAGGGCAGGGCAACACATCCCTCCTTCTGCTGGAATCTTCTCCTTGATTGAGGTGGTATTTGTATTAGGATTTGTATTTGGTTTCATTCTGAAGCTTCAGCTCAATTCATGTTGTTTTTGAAGAATTCTGGAAATTCTTCGTTTTACTTCTTATCATTGGCAGGGGTGGGAGAAGGATGATTTTTGGTAGCATGTCCCTCCTCAAGGTCTTCAGGGACATTTATGCACTAAAGAACAGGGTGAGGTGGCTAGGATCAGGAAACTTTCCCTTAAGTGACTTTTCCAAAAATATTCCAGGCTATTTTTGATTTACTGTAGTTGACACCTATTATAGGAAACATTAAAAGTTAGAAAAATTTAAAAAATAACCCAAAGGAAAGAAGTAGGGGTCACTGTATCTAAAAATAATAATAAAAATTTTACAATGTATTTCTGTCTTTTATTTCTTCTTGCCATAGGTTTTGTTAGGTGAGTTGTTTTTAATTAACAAGCAGTAACATACTACATATAAAAATTTGGATGGAACCCTCTTAATTAATTTATATAAGAGATTATTTTTTGATACTACACACTATGTATGCAAATTTTAATGACTAATAACGTACTATACAAAAGAAGTAATGTGAGGTAGGTCATACATTTAAATTTAAGAACTAAAACTATAAAACTTCTAGAAGAAAACAGGAGCAGTGACCTTGATTTTGACAGAAATTTATTAAGTAGGGCACAAAAGCCATGAGCAATAGATGCAAAAAAAAAAAAAGAACAAATTAGATTTCACCAAGATTAAAAATGTCTGATCTTCTGAAGATACTTTTACAAAACTAAAAGAGGCAAGTCACCCTAGAAGAAAATTTTGCAAAACACATACCACAAAAGATTTGATTCTGAAATAGATAATGAAAGCACATGTACTCATGGATGTTCACTTTAGCTTTATTTGTAGTAGCAAAAAAATAAAATAAAACAGAACAACAACAACAAAAACCTGAAGTTTTATCACTGTATAAATGGATAAAAACATTGAGGTCCATCCAATATAATGGATTACTACTCTGTAATAAATAACAAAGGGGCTATTGATACATCTAACAACATAAATGGATCTGATTATTATTTTGAGTGGAAGGGGAAAAAAAGACCAAAAACCAAGCATAATACTGTATGATTTCCACTTACATGAAAATTTAGAAAACATAAAAACTCATCTGTGGTGACAGGAAATCCCTCACTATTTGCTTGAAAAGAGAACGATGATCATGGTCAGTGGTTGCCTAAGGCTACAAGGCTTGATAATGAAGTAGATCCTTCTGGAAAAAAAGTGAAGGCAAACTCTGGTCTTAGATGCCAGAGATCCCACTGGTCAATGGGTTTGTTTGTTAAAATAAAATTTAAAAAGGCTTTATTACAATGGAGTATTATTCTTTTGGGCAGGTTTTAAATACATATATACCCTGAGGAGTTCTTAAGGAAAATTTTCTCTTAGGAGATAGGATGATAGAAAGTCCTCAGGCCTGCAGAGGACTCCATGCTCAGGGTTTCT